TTTCGGTCCACTTGGGCCAACAGCTGCTTCCTTGTGCCATCGTCCATAACGAGCTGATCTGGCTATTCCAAATCCTTGGCTTGTGCGGTGGTTGGGTAAAAATGGGTAGTTCCTGGAGTCAAGTTTACCCTCGATGGCATCTTCCATCACATCCTTGATCACCGGAACCCATCGAGAAGTTTGGTAAACTTGTTCATTTGGTCTTTGCCTTCTCGCAAGAGCTGGGGTTCTCCTTCCCGGTTCGAAGATTACATTTATACCCAGCAAGCTCAGGTTAGTTATGGTATCCTTCTCATTCATAGGAATATTTGCATGTTGGAGCATTTTCTCCAAATTTTCGTCACTGACCCCATTCTGGCTCAGAACATACAGCAGAACAAGCCTCAGACGATCTTCCAGCTTCACTTCTGGATCTATCAGAAGCGGTGCCATCAATCTCACCGGATCTTTGACTTTCTCCCCATTCACATCGAACTGGGTAGCTATATCCTGCTCAACTTTGCACAGCTTATCCACACCATTCTGGTACTTATGCATACAATCCTCCACTAAATGGAATTGACTCGTGAATCTATGCAATTCCTTCTGATGCTGTGGCATCTTCTTTATCAGATCAGAAAGATCCTTGATGGATTTCACATTTGCAACAGCTTTCGATGCATCCTTAGTGTCTCCCAACTTCTTCAGTCCAGCTATGATCTCCTTTGATACATCTGCTATGTGCTTGTGACGAGTGTCCAACCAAAGTTCATCGTTTTCATCGAGTATAGTTTCTTGATTTTTTCCACCAGTTTCGTAGCGATATACATCGTTTTCGATATCAAGCAGATCGTGGCACATCGCTTGCAAGGTCAACTCATGTAAAATCGGAGTTATTGCGTCAAATCCGCGATCTGTAAAAGCAACTTAATAAAAATAGTTTGATTTCTACAAAATTCAAAGCAAAAGTTGTGCCATAACCGGATGAAGATATAATTACAGAACAAAAAAAAAAAGAATTTAAGTAGCACAATGTGTGGGAAGATGAAGTTGAAAAATTTGCTATCAGTTGATATATTCTATAATTATGGTAGGCCAATGGTTGTCAGGATGTACAAGTAGGAAATACAAAAATTGGGGGGCTACAGGTTTGACCATAGATTCCAACTGTTACCAGCGTTACCGCAACAACAGTGTAAGTGGTATTGACAGTGCTATCTACCAGTGTTAACTCTGTCACCGTAGTTCATTGCAACCGTTCCTACCGTTGTTAAAAATGTTCCTATTTATACGAAGGCCTTCT